AACAGCTGTGAAAGCTGGTTGGTCACCAGCTGGCTTCCTAGTCAAGGTTCACGTGTGGTTTTTGTTTTTTTTTAAGAAGCCGTTTTTGCTAAATTATTTCTACTCGGAAACGTTTCGCACCGACCTGAGGCCGCCACCTCCTTACACTTTTATAATCGGCGGCCTCTCCGGGGAGGCGCGCGAACCCTCGGCCACGCCTGTACCGTTTGAGTTTGGGGAGAGGGCGTTTGCATTTTTATGGTGAAATAAACTTTTCCAATGAACTGCTGTTCTGCTGGCTTTGTTGTGAGTTCTTTCAGCTGAGCCTCGGTCAGTGTCTTTGAAACTGATAGGAATCACTTGCTTTTCCTAGAAGCGCTAATTCACTGGGGTTGATTTTTTTTTTCCCCTCTAAATATATTTATACTAGAGGCCCGGTTCACGAAATTAGTACGAGGGGACGGGTTCGAGGGGTTCCTCAGCCCAGCCTGCACCCTCTCATAATTCTGAATGCTGGCTCCTAACTGCTCTCCTGCCTGCCTGATCGCCCCTAACCACTCGCCTGCCTGATACCCCTAATGCCTGATCGCCCCTAACCACTCTGCCTGCCTGATCACCCCTAACTGCCCTCCTGCCTGATCACCCCTAACCCCTCTGCCTGCCTGATTGCCCCTAACTGCTCTCCTGCCTGCCTGATCACCCCTAACCACTCTGCCTGCCTGATCACCCCTAACTGCTCACCTGCCTGCCTGATCACCTCCTACCCCTCTGCCTGCCTGCCTGCCTGCTTGCCCCTAACCACTCTGCCTGCCTGCCTGATCGCCTCTAACCACTTGCCTGCCTTATCACTCCTAACTGCTCTCCTGCCTGCCTGCCCTATCGCCCCTAACCCCTCTGCCTGCCTGATCACCGCTAACCACTCGCTTGTCTGATACCCCTAACTGCCTCTGCCTCGGTCCGTGCCCCCCCCCTCCCCCCGCCCTGGCTTAGTCTGGAAGGACACCCAGAAGGTGGTTTGGCTGTCCGGTCTAACTAGCATATTAGGCTGTTATTATAGATTGATTTCAGAGAAAGGAAAGGAGAGAGAAAGAGAGGAACATCCATGAGGAGAGAGAATCATGGACCGGCCGCCTCCTGCACGCCCCCCACTGGGACTCCAGCCCGCAACCCGGGCAGGTGCCCTTGACCGGGAATCCAACCATGACCTCCTGGTTCACAGGTCAATGCTCAACCCCTGAGGCACGCCTGCCGGGCTAGGCTTGTGTTTAAAGAACTCTCGTCCGAATACATTCTCCTTTGAAAAACCCGTGGATTCTCATCGGTCACCAGGGCCTCTGGCTTCCTGTTTGTTTTGGAGATTCTGCCGGGGGAGGGGGAGTCCAGGCACCGACCTGGATTTTCACGCCTCAAATCCCGCCTTTGAAGGAGCGTGTCGGGCCCTTCCTTCTCACTCCATCTCATTAGCAGAGTCATTGCCTTAGTGGGAGATTTCATGGGTCTCCCGCAGCCGGGGGATTTGGTGGGATTTGTCCGTCTTAAGAAAGGCTGCTTACAGTTTAATCAAGCAAATGCCGTCGATCCGGGGCCAGTCCGTAAGGCGGTCCCAAAGATTCTCTCCTTTTTTAATTTTTTAAATGTATCTTTATTGATTTCAGAGAGGAACCCCGAAGGTCTCCTTCGATTCGACCAAACACCTGAGCGACGCCTCCATCAAGAAGCGGCAGCTGGAGCGGCAGAAGCTGCAGGAGCTGGAGCAGCAGCGGGAGGAGCAGAAGCGGCGGGAGAAGGAGGCCGAGGAGCGGCAGCGGGCGGAGGAGAGGTGGGCCGGGGAGGAGAGGTGGGCCGGGAGAGAGAGAGGAAAAAAAACATCCATGATGAGAGAGAAGCATGGATCGGCCGCCTCCTGCACGCCCCCGACTGGGGACGGAGCCTGCAACCCGGGCCTGTGCCCTTGACCGGGAATCGAACCCGTGACCTCCTGGTTCTTAGGTGGACGCTCAACCACTGAGCCACGCCGGCCGGGGAAAACATGCTATTCTTTTTTTAAATATTTGTCATTTAAAAAAAATCTTTATTATTGAAAGAAAAAACATGCTATTCTATTTAAAATATATATATTTTAATACATTTTGGTTGATTTCGCAGAGGAAGGGAGAGAGACAGATAGAAACATCCATGATGAGAGAGAATCATGGACCGGCTGCCTCCTGCACGCCCCCTACTGGGGATGTGCCCGCAACCAAAGTACAAACCCTTGACCGGAATCGAACCCGGGACCCTTCAGTCCGCAGGCCGACGCTCTATCCACTGAGCCACACCAGTCAGGGCATTATTTTTTTGTTTTGTGAATGGCAACCTTTACTGGCCCAAAATGTTTCCGTTTGATGGATGTAGTCCCCTTTGTTTTAATATTTTTTTTTCCATTAAAAAAATAAAATTTAGCCCTAGCCGGTTTGGCTCAGTGCATAGAGCATCGGCCTGTGGACTGAAGGTTCCCGGGTTCGATTTCCGGTCAAGGGCACATGCCCGGGTTGAGGGCTCGATCCCCAGTAGGGGGCGTGCAGGAGGCAGCCGGTCCATGATTCTCATCATTGATGTTTCTATCTCTCCCTCTCCCTTCCTTTCTCTGAAATCAATAAAAATATATTAAATAAATAAGAAAATAGCCACAAATCATTTATTTTTATTTTTCTGTATGACAATCAGAGTTTACTTAGTCAATTGATGAAATTAAAGGCATAACCTTTGTTATAAACATTTTAGTAAATGTTAATTTTGACTTAGGAAAGAAGACAATTTAAAATCCTAACAATGGAAATGAAAAATACAGAATTACCGTTAAAAATGAATTGACAGCGAATTTTATCTCGGACTCAGGAAACATTTTTAATATTTAATGAAAATGAATTAGTCAAATGTACGGGATTTAAAAAAATTCCTTAAGGATACAGAACAGCTCTGACTTTTTATGTCCAAATCCTATAGCAACAGAATACCAGCAAGAAAAATGTTACACAAATCATTTTTTTTGAATTTTATTTTATTGTTTAAAATATTACAAATAGTAGTACATATGTCTCCTTTCCCCCCCCCATTGCACAAATCATTTTTAATAAAATTTAATTTAAACCTGAACTCATTAAAATTTGATAATTACGTAATAAATTATCGTAGCGGCCTGGATCCCTTAGGGCAGCGGTTCTCAACCTGTGGGTCGCGACCCCTTTGGCCGTCAAATGGCCCTTTCACAGGGGTCGTCTGAGACCGTCGGAAAACATATATAATCACATTGTTTTTGTGATTGATCACTATGCTTTCATGATGTTCAATGTGTCACCATGAAAATCCATCCTGCAGATCAGATATTTCCATGACGATTCATCACAGCAGCCACATGACAGTGATGACGTAGCAAAGAAGATAATGTTATGGTTGGGGGTCCCCACAGCATGAGGAGCTGTATTCAAGGGTCGCGGTGTTAGGAAGGTTGAGAACCACTGATAGATATATAGATATAGATATAGATGATATAGATGATATAGATATAGTGATGAAGCAGTAACGAAGATAATTCTATGGTTGGGGGTCCCCACAACATGAGGAGCTGTATTCAAGGGTCGCGGCCTTAGGAAGGTTGAGAACCACTGGCTTAGGGGCAGAGTGTGTGAGCCGAAAGCCAGCTGGGGGAGGTATAAGCCATATCATCCCTTTAATAAAGCTCATGGGATTATTGTCTTTGTTGTTAATCCCCATTTGAGGATATTTTTTCCATTGCCTCCCCCCCCCCCCCCCCCTGAGAGAGAGAGAGTGAGAGAGAGAGAGGAGAGACACAAACCCCAGTGGCCCCGCAGGCACCCAGCTCCCGGGCCAGTGGGGCGCGAAGTTGCAACCCAGGTACCTCAAGCCCTTGACCTGGAATTGAACCCGCGACCTTATTCCGTGCGCAGGCCGGCGCTCTAACCACTGAGCCACACCGGCCACGCTCTCACCACTGTCCCTGCAGCCGGGAACCACCCGGGGGACCCTCAGAGCCGGAAGGAAATGAGTTGCCCGGAGGGGCACCCCAGCCCCGGGCTCCTGGACCAGTACTCCCAGGGGTTCATGGTTTCGCAGGTAGGAGGAGCCTCTGGAATTAGGGGCCACAGGGGGGTGATATTTTTTATTTAAATATATTTGTAATTGATTTCAGAGTGGAAGAGAGAGAGAGAGAGAGAGAGAAACATCCACGATGCGAGAGAATCATGGATCGGCTGCCTCCTGCACGCCCGTACTGACACTGTGTCCACCTTGAACACTCACTGCCCAGCCCCTCCCCCAGCCCCTGGTGCCCACCATCGACATTGTCTCTGCGAATCTGTGGCTCTAGGGACCTCATCTAAGTAGAATCCTACGGGATTTGTCCTTCCGTGTCTGGCTTACGTCACTGCATGACCTCAGGGTCCATCCCTGTTGTACTAGGTGTCAGAATGCCGGTCCTTTTTCATGGCTGCATACTATTCCACTCTGGACGGGCCCTGTATTACTCATCCATCGATGGGCACTTGGGTTGCTCCTGCCTCCTGGCCGCTGTGAGCCATGCCGCCATGAACACAGCTGTACAACGATCCCTTGAGTCCCTCCTTTCAACTCTTCCCAGGTTCTCTTTGCCGCGTGCGAGCTGGGAGTGTTTGACGTCCTCGCCGAGGCCCCGGGGCCGCTGGGCTCGGAAGCAGTGGCTGCACATCTGGGGACCAGCTCCCGGGGGACAGAGCTGCTGTTGGACACCTGTGTGTCCCTCAACCTCCTTCAGGTGGAAATGAGGGGAGGAAAAGGTACGTGTACTTTGAAAATATTATTTTTTATTGATTTCAGAGAGAGAGAGAGAGAGAGAAACATCAATGATGAGAGAGAATCATGGACCAGCTGCCTCCTGCACGCCCCACACTGGGGATCGAGCCTGCAACCCGGGCATGTGCCCTTGACCGGGAATCGAACCCTGACCTCCTGGTTCATAGGTCGAAGCTCAACCACCAAGCCACACGAGCTGGGCTGGGCTGGTCACTTTTATAAAATGCTAGAGGCCCGGTGCACGAAATTCGTGCACTTGGGTGGGGATGGGGGGGGGTCCTCAGCCTGGCCTGCGCCCTCTCACAGTCCGGGAGCCCTCAGGGGATGTGCTGGAGGCAGGAGAGGCTCCAGCCACCGCCGCTGCACTCGCCAGACGTGAGCCCGGCTTCTGGCTGAGCGTCTGCCCCCTGGTGGTCAGTGCACCTCAGAGCGACCGGTCGTTCCACCGTTGGGTCAATTTGCAGATTAGCCTTTTATTAGATAGGAGGCTCTTACTTTGCAAAATTCAACATCGGTCACCCTGGGTTGAGCCTTCAGGGCGTGTTAAGGATTTTCGTCCGTCTGTCCGTCCGTGAAGTTGCAGAGTCTAGAAATCATGGCTTGAGTTGGTACAAGAAAGCAGGGGAGTGTGGGCCGGGGGACTGCGGCAACAGGCACGGAGCATTTTGCTTAAACAAGGAGTCCTGTGCCTGTTGGGATTGTGGGTGCAAACGTTGGCCTGGTTTCTGGGCCCAGGTTTGGGGTCCATCGGAGCGACCCACAGGTGCCCAGCCGCTATGACAATTTGGTCAGAGGTGGTTAACGGTTAGCCCCTTCTTCTTCATGAATAGGCCACACTGGACCCCTGTCCTAAGAGGAATATAAAGAATCTACAGCCCTAACCGGTGTGGCTCAGTGGCTAGAGCGTCGGCCTGCGGACTGAGGGGTCCCGGGTTCGATTCCGGTCAAGGGCATGTACCTTGGTTGCGGGCACATCCCCAGTAGGAGGTGTGCAGGAGGCAGCTGATCGATGTTTCTCTCTCATCGATGTTTCTAACTCTCTATCCCTCTCCCCTCCTCTCTGTAAAAAATCAATAAAATATATTTTGAAAAAAATTAAAAAAAATAAAGATGCTACAACCAGGAAAAGCCCGGCCAGTGTGGCTCAGTGATTGAGCGTCGACCTAGGAACCAGGAGGTCACAGTTCGATTCCCGGTCAGGGCACATGCCCGGGTTGAGGGCTCGATGCCCAGTAGGGGGCGTGCAGGAGGCAGCCGGTCCGTGATTCTCTCTCCTCATGGATGTTTCTCTCTCTCTCTCTTCCTCTTCCTCTCTGAAATCAATAAAAATATATTTTTTAAAAAAATTCAGCCCAGCCGGGTGTAGTGCAAGTGTTGAGTGTCAACCCAGGAACCAGGAGGTCACGAGTTCGATTCCCGGTCAGGGCACATGCCCGGGTCGATCCCCAATGGGGGACATGGAGGCAGCCGGTCCATGATTCTCTCTCTCCCTCTCCCTTCCTCTCTGAAATCAATAAAAAAAAAATCTATTAAAAAAATTGTAAATCATGATGTTGTGACAGCCTGCAGCCCTGTCTACAAATTTAACTTACTTTTCTTTGTTTGTTGTTGTTTTTTGGTCTGTTCCCAGCTTTGTATGACAACACACAGCTCTCCAGCACCTACCTGCTGAGGTCCAGCCCCAGCTCCCAGTACCACATGATGCTCTACTTGGCCCGGACTACCTACCTGTGCTGGGCGCACCTGGCCCAGGCGGTGAGGTGGGTGTGGCGTCGATGGTGCGGACTCAATCTCAGGGCGGCCCCCAGGGCTGGTTCAGGGCATTGGGGACTCAACATGCCAGGTTCCTGGCAGAACCAAATGGGCCACCATCGGTTGGGAAAAATCAGAGAAGATGTTAACACACTGCAGACTAGTCGTATTTTTGTTTATTTGTTTTTTAAAATGTATTTTATTGATTTTTTACAGAGAGGAAGGGAGAGGGATAGAGAGTTAGAAACATCGATGAGAGAGAAACATCCATCAGCTGCCTCCTGCACGCCCCCCACTGGGGATGTGCCCGCAACCAAGGTACATGCCCTTGACCGGAATCGAACCCGGGACCCTTCAGTCCCCAGGCTGACGCTCTATCCACTGAGCCACTCCGGTTAGGGCGGACCAGTCGTTTTATCGCTGGCTTTGCCCAGCGGCCAGATACGTTTCTATTGGACGAGGTACAAAATAACGTTTTACATACGTGTGAAAGGCACGCCTTAAAATCAAATACCCGTTGCCTTTTGAAGTTATTGGTTACGTGTTCTTTCAAGCTAATGTCTTTTTATCTATTTTTAATTTTTTAAAAATATATTTTATTGATTTTTTTTACAGAGAGGAAGGGAGAGGGATAGTTAGAAACATCGATGAGAGAGACACATTGATCAGCTGCCTCCTGCACGCCCCCCACTGGGGAGGTGCCCGCAACCCAGGTACATGCCCTTGACTGGAATCAAACCCGGGACCCTTCAGTCCGCAGGCCGATGCTCTATCCACTGAGCCACACCGGTTAGGGCCAAGCTAATGACTTTTTAAAGGATGAGACTTTGTTAAACACTGTGTGACATGAAGGGAGATTTCTCGGGATCCGTCAGATATGTGTTAAGTGACCTGGTGTTGACCCGTAAAAGTCACTTCATCTAGATCTGTTGATAAGAAGTCCTTGTGGCCCTGGCTGGTGTGGCTCAGTGGATAGAGCGTCGGCCTGGGGACCAAAGGGTCCAGGGTTCGATTCCGGTCAAGGGCATGTACCTTGGTGGCAGGCTCTTCCCCGGCCCGGGCTCTGGTCGGGGCGCCTGCAGGAGGCAACCCATCGATGTGTTTCTGGGAGACAGTTGTTCTGGACATGCCTGGGGGGGGAGGGAGGAGGAGGAGGAGGAGGAGGAGGAGGGAGAAGAGGAGAAGGAGGAGGAGGAGCAGGTGGAGGAGAGATGAGGAGGGGTAGGACATGGAGGAGGAGGAGGAGGAAGAGGAGCTGGGGTAGACCAGCTGGCCGACCCACTAGCTGTAGGTAGACCAGCCGGCCCTCCCATCAAAGGTAGACCAGCTGGCTTTTCAGTTATAAGGCATTTCCTATCCACTAATGCTGGTTGAGGAGTCATTTTAGAGTGTGGTGTCCCCAAAATCACATCATTGTCAAACTCCTTTTTTATATATGTTTAAAAATATAAATTTTTATTGATTTCACAGAGAAAGGGAGAAGGAGCGAGAGAGAGAAACATCCATGATGAGAGAGAATCACTGATTGGCTGCCTCCTGCACGCCCCCTACTGGGGATGGAGCCCACAATCCGGGCATGTGCCCTTGACCGGGAATTGAACTGTGACCTACAGGTTCATGGGTTGACGCTCAACCACTGAGCCACACCAGTTGGGCTAAAGCATATTTTTATTAATTTATTTTTAGAGAGAGAGGAAGGGAAAGGGAGAGAGAGAGGGAGAGAGAAACATCAATAAGAGAGATAGATTGATTGACTGTCACCTGCATGCGTCCATGCCCAACCACTGAGCCGTACTGGCCGGGCAGTCACTCTTTCTATTACCTTTCATTCCTCCTTGGCTCACGTCAGAGAACTGAGCTGGTCGGGGACCCTCCAGCCCTGAACACGCGTGTCTCCCTGAACACGCGTGTCTTTTGCCCCAAAAGGAAAGCCTGAGTGTGTTTCGCCGATCAGTTACGCTTCCTGCGTGCCCCATCTGTGATTGAAGGGGAGGGGGGGTGACCACCTGTGTGAATTGATTGATTAATTAAGGGATCTCTCAGAACTGGGGTGACAGCCTTCCTTCCCCCCACTCCCCCGATTTCAGAGAAGGGAAGAACCAGTATCTGAAGGCCTTCGGGGTTCCCTCAGAGGAGCTCTTTACCGCCATCTACAGGTAATGCAAAGTCCTTAGTCTCATAGCATTATGCTTATTATTATTATTTTTAGGTGATGCAGTATTTTATTTTAAAGTCTGTTTTTTTATAAAAATATATTTTATTGATTTCTTACAGAAAGGAAGGGAGAGGGATAGAGAGTTAGAAACATCGATGAGAGAGAAACATCGATCAGCTGCCTCCTGCACACCCCCCACTGGGGATGTGCCCGCAACCAAGGTACATGACCTTGACTGGAATCGAAC